CATCACCACCACTATCCAGGAGTCAGCCAACAGGAACATCCCCAGGTTCTCTCCGCAGCCCAACGACCTCAGGAAACCCCCACGGCACATCCTCGCTCTGATTGGCCAGCGGAACAATCTAAGGAACATCTTCCAGCGCACGCGTGACTATAGCCTGAAGCCGGCCATCAACGCGATGACCCGACAGATAGCCAGCCTCATGCGTGACTGGAAGACGTCACTCTGGCACGAGCAGTTACGGAGGACCCACGACGACCATCGCCAGTTCTGGAGACTCGTCAGGACCTTCGTCAGTAAGAGGAGGAACGTGCACTTGACGTCGGGGAACGAGCTGCTGACACCTGAGGAACAGGCTGTACTCCTGGCCGAGAGCTATGCAGCGAAGGACGATGAACGGACGTGTAGTGCTCCACCCATACCGGAGGGACCACTACCTTGTCCCAACGAGAAGCCCATTTTCTCCACTATCAACCAGCTTGAGTCGGTACTAAGACGAATCAAGGGAAACAAAGCCTCCGGACAGGATGAGATCCCGTACGTTATGATGAAGATGCTCCCTAGAAAGGGCAAAGCCTTTCTATTGAACATCTTTAACTCGTGCCTACGAATCTCATACTTTCCGAATGCCTGGAAACGAGCGATCATAGTACCGTTGCTCAAGCCAGCGAAGAAAGGAGACTCGCCAGAGCACTACCGCCCGATCAGCCTCCTCTCGCACATCAGCAAGGTTTTTGAGAGACTGATACAACATCACCTCATCAAGCACTGCATGAAGGAGGACATAATCCCGCCGGAGCAGACAGGATTCCAGCGAGGGGTTGCCTGCGAGCATCACCTGGCCAGGCTACAAGCCCACACAATCCACCAGATGAACCAGAATAGAGCTACGGCGCTGATCTCACTGGACTGCAGTCAGGCCTTTGACTGCGTGCCACACACGCACCTGATTCGACGCCTGGAGGAGTACAGGTTTCCCGCCTCTCTGTGCCGACTGATCCGAAGCTATCTTAGCGGAAGATCGTTCGTCGTACGGGTTGGCGGAGACCTTTCTCCACCAGAATCTACCAGATGCGGTGTCCCTCAAGGGTCTGTATTGGGACCAATACTGTTTGTCGTTTATACGGCACCGGTAGTGGCACTCAAGCATCCAGGCACGATGGTAGCAGCCTATGCGGACGACATTGGCATCTATTCTTCCAGTTTCGACGCAGGAACGGCACTTACCCGAGTACAGAAAGCCTCAGCCACCATCGTTCGAGAACTCGAGGACAACGGTATCCGGGTAAACCCAGCGAAGACAGATGCCATTGTCTTATCCTTTCAGAAAGGCAAGAAGAGACGGCTACCGAGAGATTTCTCCATCAGTGGGGTAACCCAACCGCTCTCCCCTAGGATCGTCTACCTCGGCGTCACGCTAGATAGGCACCTGACCTTCACTAGCCACGTCAGGAGGAGGATCCTGCAGACAAGGAAGAAGACATATAGGCTATACCATCTGCTGACATCACCGCAGCTCTCTCTACGGCTCAAGCTGCAGATTTACAAGGCCATTATTAGACCGACGATGCTCCACGGTGCCCCTCTCCTCAGACACCTGTTCAAGACAACCCTACAACGACTGCAGAGCTACCAGAACTCTGTCCTTCGGCGAGTGGTAAGAGGAACCTGTCTCCAGAGGGCAAAGAACTCGGTCATTCACGAAGAGCTTCAGCTCCCGTCAGTGCCCGAGTTCATAGGCCGGAGGCACATCAAGTTCTTTGATGGGCTGAAGGCCTGTGCCAACCCACTCTTCAAAGATATCTCCCCACCACCCAGGCCCGGGAGGTGGCAGCGCAAGGTCCCCTTGGTGGATGTACTCGCCGAGGGAAGGGGTCTGGACACTGCAGTCCATACCCGTAACATTAGTTTGTAGTTTTTTAGTTTTTAGTTCTTAGTTTTAGTTTGTAGTTTTAAGTTTCTATTTTTGTAACTAGATGAGCAGTCCCTCCCTGTTCAAATAGAAAATGTAAGGCTCCATGCCGCTAAAGAGAAAAATGCACACAGCAGACCCTATCCCTCATACCTTAAAATACCTACGGGTAAAAAAAGGCTCAGAAATGTGTATATACTGCCTCATATGTATATTGTAAAATGTATTAATAAAAATTCCTGGGGGGTGAGAAAAAAAAAAAAAAAAAAAAAAAAAAAAAAAAAAAATCAGAAGCAGGCTGAACTTGAGCTCCTACTGCAGCAGCACCGACCTACAGTTGTGGCGCTGACAGACACCATGCTATCCGCATCGTCTCGTCCATATTTTCACGGCTACACTATGTACCGGGAGGTGTGTACGGCGAGATCCCTGGAAGGCGTAGCTATCCTGGTCAGAAGAGACGTACCATCGAGAGTCGTCCCGAACCCAGTGGCGAGTACCGAGGGAACTCATCTGGTCACAGTTGACGTGCGATTGAAAAATCGATTCACGTTCACCTGTGTCTATAAGAGACCGAGGGCCATACTGACATCTGTGAAACTCCTGTTGCAACACGCTCAGACGGTGAGTCGGCATGTAGTCCTTGGGGACTTCAACGCTAGACACACCGCCTGGCTGTGTAGCAGTAACAACACACTGGGAACGTATGTCACTAAGACCAGGTTGGCCGTCTTTCACCCCGGAGTGCACACTTTCAGGCATGCAGCGCAGCCCGACCGCACTTCAACGCTCGACCTGCTACTGACCAGAGATCTACACACCATCACGGACTGCCAAGCCCTTCCGTATGGCCCATCAGATCACCGGCCCGTGCTCTACACCATGGAGGGCACACCAGCCACACCACCGGCTACAAAATATCTGCTGTGCAAGGCCGACTGGAAAGGATACAGGTCCTGCGTTGAAGAGGCACTCCCCACCATCACACCCTGCAGAACACGAGACGACGTGGATAAGGCTGTGGATGTCATCACCACCACTATCCAGGAGTCAGCCAACAGGAACATCCCCAGGTTCTCTCCGCAGCCCAACGACCTCAGGAAACCCCCACGGCACATCCTCGCTCTGATTGGCCAGCGGAACAATCTAAGGAACATCTTCCAGCGCACGCGTGACTATAGCCTGAAGCCGGCCATCAACGCGATGACCCGACAGATAGCCAGCCTCATGCGTGACTGGAAGACGTCACTCTGGCACGAGCAGTTACGGAGGACCCACGACGACCATCGCCAGTTCTGGAGACTCGTCAGTAAGAGGAGGAACGTGCGCTTGACATCGGGGAACGAGCTGCTGACACCTGAGGAACAGGCTGTACTCCTGGCCGAGAGCTATGCAGCGAAGGACGATGAACGGACGTGTAGTGCTCCACCCATACCGGAGGGACCACTACCTTGTCCCAACGAGAAGCCCATCTTCTCCACTATCAACCAGCTTGAGTCGGTACTAAGACGAATCAAGGGAAACAAAGCCTCCGGACAGGATGAGATCCCGTACGTTATGATGAAGATGCTCCCTAGAAAGGGCAAAGCCTTTCTATTGAACATCTTTAACTCGTGCCTACGAATCTCATACTTTCCGAATGCTTGGAAACGAGCGATCATAATACCGTTGCTCAAGCCAGCGAAGAAAGGAGACTCGCCAGAGCACTACCGCCCGATCAGCCTCCTCTCGCAAATCAGCAAGGTTTTTGAGAGACTGATACAACATCACCTCATCAAGCACTGCATGAAGGAGGACATAATCCCGCCGGAGCAGACAGGATTCCAGGGAGGGGTTGCCTGCGAGCATCACCTGGCCAGGCTACAAGCCCACACAATCCAGCAGATGAACCAGAATAGAGCTACGGCGCTGATCTCCCTGGACTGCAGTCAGGCCTTTGACTGCGTGCCAAACACGCACCTGATTCGACGCCTGGAGGAGTACAGGTTTCCCGCCTCCCTGTGCCGACTGATCCGAAGCTATCTTAGCGGAAGATCGTTCGTCGTACGGGTTGGCGATGCGAAGACTGCGCTCACTCGGGCACAGAAAGCCTCAGCCACCATCATAGAAGAACTAGAAGCAATCGGTATCAGAGTGAACCCCGCGAAGACTGATGCCATAGTCATGTCGTTCCAGAAGGGAAAGAAGCCACTGCCCAACAACTTCACCGTCGGAGAAGTTGACCAGAAAATCTCCACTTCAATCGTCTACCTCGGCGTCACAATGGATACTCATTTAACCTTTTCCAGTCACGTCAGGCAGAGGATCAAGCTGGCCCATCGCCTCTACCATCTACTGAATTCGCCGCAGCTCTCACTGAGACTAAAACTGCAAATCTATAAGGCCATTATAAGACCCACGATGCTTCACGGGGCCCCTCTCCTGCGCTACCTATACAACTCAACACTCAAGAGACTACAGAGCTTCCAGAGTTCTATCCTTCGACGAATTGTCCGGGGCACCACCCTGCAAAGGGCTAAGAATAAAAGTATACGAGAGGAGCTCCAGCTCCCCTCGGTACCTGAGTTCATAAGCCGGAGGCACATCAAATTCTTTGATGGGCTGAAGGCCTGTGCCAACCCACTATTTAATGTCATTTCACCACCAACCAGACCAGGAAGGTGGCAGGGTAAACTCCCTTTGGTGGACATATTCGCCGAAGGATGTGGTCTGGACCCTTGAGTCCAGATCCAAATGTATATATTGTAAATATTTGTATTGTATATATTTGTAAATAAATAAAATAAACCTGCTGAGCTGTCCCTCCTTGCTCAATATTAAAATTAAGGCCACTGGCCACAAGTGTATAAAGTGCCTTCAGCACACTTAGCCAAATTATACCTTAAAATACCTTCGGGTAAAAAAAGGTAAGCATACTCTGAGTATATGTATACTTCTGTGTATACATATACAGTAAATTGTATGGTTTACTTATGGAGGGTAAGAAGAAAAAAAAAAAAAAAAAAAATTGATAAACTCAGTTTGTCACGGCATATCGAGTAGCTGTAATAGTTAAAGCTGTAATAATAGCCACCGGGGGTGTAAAGAAGCCTCACAGGTATAGGCCCGGTACAGTCGCTCTCAGACAAATCAGGAGGTACCAGAAGAGTATCGAGCTGCTCATCAGAAACTCCCGTTCCAGAGGTTGGTGAGGGAGATCGCCCAGGACTTCAAGACCGACCTGAGGTTCCAGAGCTCGGCCGTCCTGGCCCTCCAGGAGGCCAGCGAAGCCTATCTCGTAGGTCTCTTCGAGGATACCAACTTGTGCGCCCTCCAGGCCAAGAGGGTGACTATTATGCCTAAGGATATCCAGCTGGCTCGCCGTCTCCGCGGAAAACGAGCCTAAGGGCTGTCCGCACCCTGGCGTGCTTTCAATGGCCCTTTTCAGGGCCACCAAATGTGCACTAATACCTTTCTAACAAAAAAATCTGTGGAATTAGAGACTCCACATCGGTTTTATCCGTATTCGAATATATTTTATCCAACTTCTTTAGTCTCATGAATTCAAAGACGAAAAAATAAATCATCTAAATAACCTACAAAATAATATAAATTAATTAAATAAAAATATTCAAAAAATGGAACATGAAAAAGCACCTTCTAAATGGTTACAACATTTATTGAGATAAAAGATAAAGAAACAAATGAGAAGAACAAAAATTATTCAAATGCAGTGAAATAAAATATAACTTAAATATAATATTTAGTGAAAAACAAAAAAATTGTCCATCAAAAACATAAATAAAAAACTTTTATAATAATGATTAAATTAACAGAGAAAAAAAATATCTTCAAGAGAACAAAATCAAATTTTGAGAATAAATTTAATCAAAAGGAAAATAATTAACTTGAGAATTCATTAAAGTTTAAATAATAATAAACATTGTGTTTCTTCAGTCCCTATCAGTCCTAAATAAAATTATACAAAACATTCTGTAAAAATATTTTTTTTTTTCTATTCATTAATTTCATTTAACTAGAATTCATATTGATACTATTTTAATTAAATATAGTAAATAATTTGGAGAGATTAATTAAATCCATACCTTTTGTCAGCCAAAGACTTTTTTATTCATTTTATTTAACTATGGTTTCAATATCTTTAAGTTATCGTTTATTTCTTTTGCAATTTGTTTCAGCAATTATAGTCATATATTATAATTCATAGATAACGTTGGAAATATATCGTTAAATTATTAATTTTAATCCATGACTATTGCATAAATGTTTAAATAAAAAAGATTACCGAATAAATTAACATATTAATTTATTTTTCATTTTTTTTATTCTTGCCAATAAATAAATAAATTATCCAATACCATTCTCTAATAAAAATCTATTTTTGTCTGCTCATTAATTGCATGATTTTGAAATTTATATTAAAATTATTTTAATGAATTACATTAAACCAACGGTTTGATGGATGGGGCGTGGATAGGCAAACCCGCCCAACACGACGTCGTACGACGTCGTGAGAATTTCAAACTGGTTTGTTTCCAAACCGATTTTTCAACACGACGGTCCATAAATATTAGTACTAATTCCATTTAAAATAAAATATAATTAACACAGAAAATTAAAGACAAGATATTTGAAATATTAAATAATAAACTTTATCCCCGGAAACTAATTATTAATGATAATGCAGTAAAAGTACAAGAAAATAGGAATAAATATTTGAAATCAAAATATATGTTATATCAAAATAAACTGAAAACAATAAAAGAAATTGAACATAAATAATAATATTAATTTTCAACTTTATAGCAATATCAATAAACTTAAAGATAAACAATTATTTATCCGATTGTTGATTATTTAATCGTTATTTAATTTTTTTAAATATTTAATCAATGACAGATTTAAGTTTCGAAATCCCACAAACACCCCATCCAACAAATTTTACTATAAATTAAGAAAAAATTATTTGTTATTTTACGTTTCGTTTTTAGTTAGCCATTTTTGGAATTTCTAATAAAAATTAAAAAAATAGTAAATCTTATATCTTCTAAGTATCTCTGAAACAACTTATTTCACATCTAATATTACACTGAACCTAAATAAAATAAAATAAAATCATGTTATTAATTTGTGGATATTAGTAAATAACAATCCATATATTTATAATTAATTAGCTGCTAGATATTGCAATGTTTTTATATTTTTATTTTGGCGATTTTTTTATGTTTTTTATTTATTAATGTATTTTAATATTGTTATTTTTCTTTTGAATTGTTTTTGATTTTTTTATTCATATCATATCATATAATATGCCGATTTCTTAGGGTTGAATTGACAGTGAGATACGCCATAAAAAGGTATAAAGAACGCGGTTCAACTGAAAACAGTGACCGTAAAGGGCGTCCAAAAAAGTTAACTCCTAAAAATCCTCTGATAAGTTCTCGGGAGCCTGACTACCATGGTCCAATCAACGTCTGGAGTTCAGATTACTAGCAGAACAATTAGATATGCCCTAAATTCGGAAGGGCTCCATGATAGAGTTCCAAGAAAGAAGCCATACATCAGTGAAACGAATCGCAAAAACCCTTTGTTTTTGCTAGGGAGTACGTACAGAAACCCTTACCCTTTTGGGAAAATGTCATGTTTCTGACGAAAGCAAAATAAAATTTGTTTGGTTCAGATGGTCGAAGGACGATATGGCGACATCGTAATGAAGCCCTAAAGAAGCAAAATGTTTTAACAACTGTAAAGCATGGTGGAGGACATGTTATGGTTTGAGGGTGTGTTTCTGTTTGGCGCCGCTGCAAGAAGTTGGATAAAATATATTCGAATACGGATAAGACCGATAAGGAGTCTCTAATTCCACAGATTTTTTTGTCAGAAAGGTATTAGTGCACATTTGGTGGCCCTGAAAAGGGCCGTTGATAGCACGGCAGGGTGCGGAGAGCCCTTAGGCTCGTTCTCCGCGGATACGGCGAGCCAGCTGGATATCCTTACGCATAATTGTCACCCTCTTGGCCTGGAGGGCGCACAAGTTGGTATCCTCGAAGAGACCTACGAGATAGGCTTCGCTGGCCTCCTGGAGGGCCAGGACGGCCGAGCTCTAGAACCTCAGGTCGGTCTTGAAGTCCTGGGCGATCTCCCTCACCAACCTCTGGAACGGGAGTTTCCTGATGACCAGCTCGGTATTCTTCTGGTACCTCCTGATTTGTCTGAGAGCGACTGTACCGGGCCTATACCTGTGATGCTTCTTTACACCTCCGGTGGCCGGAGCACTCTTCCTGGCGGCTTTGGTTGCCAGCTGCTTCCTCGGAGCTTTGCCTCCTGTCGATTTCCTAGCGGTCCGCTTGATATGGGCCATCTTACAGAACTATGTGAGGCGTTTTTTTTTTTTTCTGACCCCCCAGAAACTTTATTTAACACTACTTACAACATACATCTATGAATGTATATATACATTATTCCTTATATATATTTACAATTATATATTTACACTATGTACAAATGTGAGGGTTCAGACTGCCGCGTCCAGACCCCCTCCTTCGTCAAAGACATCTACCAGGGGGACTTTGCCTTGCCACCTTCCAGGCCTGGGCTGTGGGGCGATTTCTTGGAATAATGGATTTGCACAGGCCTTAAGCCCATCAAAAAATTTGATGTGCCTCCGGCCAATGAATTCCGGGACCGAGGGTAGTTGGATAGTCCTGTAGTAGTCCTGGTAGATGTGCATCAGTTATGGTTTCCATGTCAGAGTCCAGGTCGAATCCGTGGATGACAAATTTCTTCGATCTTTTTGTCCCTCTCGGAGCAAATGTATGGAACTCTACATCTTTATCTTGAAGCAACATTTCTGTCACTTTGGTGTGGTCTTGTTCGTTGCTTACGTACAACCTGGTCTCTTTCGCAGAATTGTTAATAAAATATTCTCTGACCTTTATCATTGCCATCATCCTCTTGACAGATGGCTGTGATATGGCCGGTTTTACGATGATAGGTGGTGGACGTCGGTCTTCATTGGTTGCTAGCACCTGAAACCGGTTAGAAACCGAAGTAGATGCTGTGCCATTGTCTACTTTCCTCCTCGGTTTGAGTACTTTGTTGGGTGGAGGCTGCACGAACCCTTCGGAATCGCTATGTGGCCTCTTCTTCTCAGCCCGTGGGTCTTCATTTCCTAATTCCATGTTGATAACATCTTCATCCGTCGATGGTAGGTCAACATGCTCAGGGTTCATCTTGTAGGCTGTAGAGCAGCTATCTTCTTACAAGTATACTGCTGCCCGATTGGCTGTCGAGGTTGAGTTCCACGGGATAAGTGTGGCCCTCAACAGCTTAAGGCGCTGGACTTAGTAAGAAGATCGAGAGTGAGGAGTAACTGGCAGGCAATAGTAGTGATGAGGAGGTCCTTCTGCTTCTGCTGCAGCTGCTGAAGTGGCGTGTATAAACACAGGTGAACGTATAGCGATTTTTAAATCGTACGTCCACTGTGACCATGTGAGTTCCCTCGGTAGGTTCCACTGGGTAAGTGATGGTTTTTGAAGGTACATCTCTTCTGACCAGTATAGCGACGCCCTCAGCTCTCCCAGGGGAGCACACCTCCCGGTACACAGTATACCCCTGGAAAAATACTCGAGACGATGCGGGCAACATTGTGTCAGTCAGTGCCACAACCGATGGTCTGTGCTGCTGTAGGAGAAGGTCTAGTTCGGCCGACTTTGATAGGAGGCCTCTGATGTTCAGGTTGACTACGAGGTGTTTAGTCATTTTTCTTGATGGGCATCACGGTTTGAAGGAGAGTTGTTATAAAATTTAACATCGTGTCCATCCTGTCCAACATCTTCTCAACGAGGGTTACTAGAGTTGATTCTGTTGTCCTAGGTGGCTGGGTTTCAAGTGTGCTGGTGATCGCTGGGGTCGGGCTATTTTGTGTCTGGTGGTGGGAGGCAGTGGGCTGCTGTGATTCGTTGCTTGTTCCGCCAATGATATTAGAGTATGATGGGTCCTTACGGACTGGTTTGGCCGGATTCCTCATTGTGCTGGTGACTGAGCCCTGCTTCTTCCTTGTTTCTATAAGTTTCTGTCGGGAGGGACATTCTTTTGAGAATGCTGGGTGGTTACCGCTGCAGTTCCAGCATTTAGCCGGAGCTCTCTTAGGGCACTCTGTGTTTAAATGTTGTTCTCCACACCAGGCACAGTGGCAGGTTCGGCCACAATATTGCATTGTGTGGCCGAACTCCTGGCAGTTCCTGCACTGTACTGGGGCCTTCGTTTCTTTGTACACCCTTACTCTGAAGCGTACATAGTCGATAGCTTCGAGTCTCTGGATATCTTCCAGTTTGACTGTGTGTTCAGTTATGAACTGGATTTCCTCCGTTTCATAAGTTTTCCCGGCCTTATTGGTCCTCTTCATGCGTCTGGCCATCTTAAAGCCGGGGAGCCGACGCTTCAGTGCATCAGTTATGGTTTCCATGTCAGAGTCCAGGTCGAATCCGTGGATGACAAATTTCTTCGATCTTTTTGTCCCTCTCGGAGCAAATGTGTGGAACTCTACTTCTTTGTCTTGAAGCAACATTTCTGTCACTTTGGTGTGGTCTTGTTCGTTGCTTACGTATAACCTGGTCTCTTTCACTGAATTGTTAATAAAATATTCTCTGACCTTTATCATTGCCATCATCCTCTTGACAGATGGCTGTGATATGGCCGGTTTTACGATGATAGGTGGTGGACGTCGGTCTTCATTGGTTGCTAGCACCTGAAACCGGTTAGAAACCGAAGTAGATGCTGCGCCATTGTCTACTTTCCTCCTAGGTTTGAGTACTTTGTTGGGTGGAGGCTGCACAAACCCTTCGGAATCACTATGTGGCCTCTTCTTCTCAGCCCGTGGGTCTTCTTTTCCTAAGTCCATGTTGATAATATCTTCATCCGTCGATGGTAGGTCAACATGCTCAGGGTTCATCTTGTAGGCTGTAGAGCAGCTACCTTCTTACAAGTATAACGCTGCCCGATTGGCTGTCGAGGTTGAGTTCCACGGGATAAGTGTGGCCCTCAACAGCTTAAGGCGCTGGACTTAGTAAGAAGATCGAGAGTGAGGAGTAACTGGCAGGCAATAGTGGTGATGAGGAGGTCCTTCTCTTTCTGCTGCTGCTGCTGTGTGTGTGCAGATATTTTTTTTTTTTTTTTTTTTTTTTTTTTTTTCTGACCCCCCAGAAACTTTATTTAACACTACTTACAACATACATCTATGAATGTATATATACATTATTCCTTGACCTTTGCTTACCCAAGGGTATTTTAAGGTAAATGACAGTTTATGCCGTAAGCATAGGATACTTTCTGTGGCCTTAGGCCTTAATTTCATCACCGGGCGTGGAGGGACCGCCCTGCTTTATTCATAAAGGATAGGGATGAGGATATATTTACATATTTACAATTATATATTTACACTATGTACAAATGTGAGGGTTCAGACTGCCGCGTCCAGACCCCCTCCTTCGTCAAAGACATCTACCAGGGGGACTTTGCCTTGCCACCTTCCAGGCCTGGGCGGTGGGGCGATTTCTTGGAATAATGGATTTGCACAGGCCTTAAGCCCATCAAAAAATTTGATGTGCCTCCGGCCAATGAATTCCGGGACCGAGGGTAGTTGGAGCTCCTGGTAGATGTCTCTGTTCCTGGATCGCTGAAGATGGGTACCTCTGACTATTCGCCGAAGGACGGAGTTTTGGAATCCCTGCAGTCTCTGGAGTGTCGTCTGGTAAAGGTGTCGGAGAAGCGGTGCACCATAGAGCAGCGTAGGTCTGATGACCGCCTTGTATATCTGAAGTTTTAGTCTCAGCGAGAGCTGCGGCGACTTCAGCAGGTGGTAGAGCCTATGTGACTTTTGTTTTGCCAGCTTGAGTCTTTGTTTGACATGACTGGAGAATGTTAGGTGTCTATCCAATGTCACGCCGAGATAGACTACTGAGGTGGAGATCCGCTGATAAACACTACCGATGGTGAAGTGAGTGGGTAGTGGCTTTTTCCCTTGCTGGAACGACATCGCGATAGCGTCAGTCTTCATCGGGTTTACTCTGATGCCATTTTTCTCTAGCTCTCCGACGATGACTTCTGTGGCTTTTTCTGCATGCTTGAGGGCTCTCTTTGCATTAGTGCTCGATGCATAGATCCCGATATCGTCAGCATAGGCTGCTACCACTGCGTTTGGGTGCTTGAGTGCCACTACTGGCGCCGTAAAAACGACGAACAGTATTGGTCCCAACACAGACCCTTGAGGTACTCCACAGGTGGTATCGACTGGGTTAGAGTAGTCGTCACCAACTCGTACGACGAGAGATCTTCCGCTAAGATAGCTTCTGATCAGTCGGCATAGAGGGGCTGGGAACTTGTACTCTTCCAGCCGTCGGAGTAACAGCGCGTGAGACACGCAGTCAAAGGCCTGGCTGCAGTCCAGTGAGATGAGTGCCGTAGCTCTGTTGTGATTCATCTGCTCTATGGTGTGTGCCTGAAGTTTCGCCAGGTGATGTTCGCAGGCGACACCTCGTTGGAAACCTGTCTGCTCTGGTGGTATAACGTTCTTCTCTCTACAGTGTTTTATGAGATGGTGGTGAATCAAGCGCTCGAAGACCTTGCTGATGTGCGAGAGGAGGCTAATTGGACGATAGTGCTCAGCCGCGTCTCCTTTCTTCCCCGGCTTTAGTAGCGGTACTACGATTGCTTGTTTCCAGGCTGTGGGAAAGTACGAGATTCGCAGGCATGAGTTGAAGATGTTCAGGAGGAAGGCTTTACCCTTCCTTGGGAGCATCTTCAGTAGCACATACGGTATCTCGTCCTGTCCTGACGCCTTGTTTCCCTTAGTGCGCCGTAGTACCGACTCAAGCTGGTTAATACTGGAGAAAACGGGCTTCTCGGTGAGGCTGGAATATAGTCCATCCTGTACAGGAGGGGCACTTCTCGTCCGCTCAGCATCACCCGCTGCATAGCTTTTCGCCAGTAATTCAGCCTGTTCCCCGGGTGTTAGCAGCGCGTCACCTTCTGTCAGATGCACACTTCTCTTCTTGCTGACGAAAGTCCTGATGAGTCTCCAGAACTGGCGGTGATCATCGTGTGTCCTCCGTAGCTGATCATGCCAGAGAGAAGTTTTCCAGTCACGCATGAGGCTAGCTATCTGCCGGGTCATCGCATTGATGGCCGGCTTCAGACTATAATCGCGGGTGCGCTGGAAGATGTTTCTGATGTTGTTCCGTTGGCTTATCAGCGCAAGAATGTGCCGCGGTGGTCTTCTGATGGAGTTGGGCTGTGGGGTGAACCTGGGGATATTACGATTGGCTGAATCCTGGATGGTTGTGGTGATGACTTTCACAGCAC